GGGGTCTTCTCTCACCAACTAAGAATGGGACCTGTGCATTGGAGGACAAAGTTCTAACCACTGAGCCGGCAGAGAAGTCCTTAGAAGTGCATTCACTTTCATAAGCCATTGCATTTGGGGCAATTATGAAACAATGGAAATGTAGAATTACCAATAACTGTTTTAACTGTGGTGTTGAGATAGAAATAAATGTAATGATCTAGCAGCTATGACACATTCACAGCGGAAAATATAAAACATCGGATTCATCAACGAGATCTCCATGGATTCACGCAACCTGTAAAAATATTAGCACAGCTGCTGAAATATAGTTCCCTTTGTGTTTTGATTCTCACGTGTGTGTAAAACAAAGACTGCTCTTCAGTATGTCTGTATGTTTGGCAGTTAATGACAAACCAGGCACGTGTATGTAGAACTGTTATACAATCTTTGTTGGGGTATTGTTGTTTCACAGTATTGTGTTAGTTCTTCCAGACCCCAAGGTGAATCAACTATACATGTACGTGGATCCCTTCTTTTCCGAATTTCCTTCCAGTTCACATCGCCACGGAGCACTGAGCAGAGTCCCCTGGGCTGTTCGGTAGGTTCTCATTAGTTACCTATTTTACACACGGTATCAGTAGTGTATGTACGTGAGCCCCAGTCTCCCACATCCTCTCAACACCTGTTTCCCCCTTGGGGTCCACATGTTTGCGCTCTCTGTGTCTCTGCTTCTGCCCTGAAACTAGTTTCATCTGCAGCCCTTTTCTAGTAACAGATTGCACACACATGAGTTAACATACGGTATTTGTTTTCAGCTTTCCGACCTACTTCACACTCTATGACACTCTGCAGGTCCATCCACAGCTCTGCACGTGGCTGAGGAGTGTTCCTCTGTCCGTGTCCCGTGTTCTTCCTGGGAAACCCCATGAACACAGGAGCCTGGGGTGACAAGGCATCAGACTCGCCTTACGCTCAAACAGCAGTGGCAAGACATGCATCTTTATCCACCCCTCTGTGGGTGGACATTCATGTTGCTTCCAGGTCCTGGCTATTGTATTCGGTGCTGCCGTGTATAGGTGGTGCACGTCCGTTTGGAATAAATGTTTTCTCCGGATATATAGAATTTTATGATATCTTTCGGAGCTACCTAATTCTGTCTAGAGGATTCGGGATCAAATTCAAGTGGAAAATACTTTAATATGAACTTATACTATGATATATCTCTGTGTGGCTCCTAGCAGTTTAGTAGTATTTCTTCTTTTCTTCTTAAATACTTCAATTAAATCTTGTCCTGAAAATTTATCAAACTGTCTACTCAGTTTCTTTACTAGGTGAAAGCACAGTAAAATTTTTTTCATCATATACGAGATTTAGTAACACATCTTTCAAGTAATATGTACATTTCATCCGTTGTATGACTTCCAGTAACATAAATCTGTTTCCAGTTTCCTCTTGATCATGATCCCTTGGATTTGAGGTGATAACTGGTTTTTCCCATATTAATATTGACATCACAGATGCATACTATCACACGGTTATATTTGTGTATATACACACACACACATAAATCCATATATCTGTTTATGGTGTTTCAGAATTTTTGATGTGTTTATGCCAGGTCTTGCTTTCCCACGTTTCTTAAGAGACTCACTCCCTTACTCTCTACCCATTTGCCTATGTGTGAATCCACTCTTCCAGTCCAGCATTTCCAGATACACTGTGACACCCAGAATCAGAACGGCAACTGCATACGCTCTGCTACACAACTTGGAGAATTGAAGTGTTGTCCTTGACCTCCGTTAGCACCCACCAAGCCAAGCAAGCACTTATTGCTCGTGCCTTTGACACCGACCAGCTGTAGACCATCTGGAGGTCATGCCTGTGTAGGAACTAAAACATTTAATCTGTTACATGTCACTTAGGTCTAGTATTCCTTTCCCAGCTCTTGGACCAAATCTCTGAGCTTTGGCTCATCCCTTGGAACATTCTGTATCTAGGATGGTTGATGTTTCACATTGTAAGCACCTCGAGCACCATGGGGAGATGGGCTGTGTGCTCTCCCCAGGATGGTGGGAATGTCCAGTCCTTGGAAGTACTAGCATCCTCTGCTCTTTGCAGATTATGAGGCGTGAAGACCATCTTCAGATGTTGTGAACAGTGACAGCTTCCTAACTGAACTGTCAATCATATTGTTCCTGCAAATGCTGCCCTGACCTCATGATCCTATGAACTGACCCAGGGTTCACCGGTGGCTCCGTCAGTAAAGAATATTTTGCAATGCAGGAGACCCAGGATTGCTCCCTGGTGGGGAAGATCCCCTGGAGAAGGGAATGGCAACCTACTCCAGCATTCTTGACTAGAGAATCCCATGAACAGAGGAGCCCGGTGGGCTACAGTTCATGGAATCACAGAGAAGGACACGACTCAGGTCTAAATCATTACACTGTTGCTATGCAACTTTCATTCCTAGAGATCCAGTCGTTAAGCAACATCGGTCCTTCAACTCGGTTACAGAACTGCTGGTGCTGTCAGAATATGGAATTTTCCTGTTGTGGCCCACGGCATCTTACCCTTTCTCTCTACGAGGCTCAGAGAGTAGAAGACAAACTCCTTTCTTTGTAATGAATATGATGCTTTCTAGGGACATCTTTCTTGACCAGACTGCCCCATCGCCTACAATAAGATGACCCAGAACCTTGTCCTCAGTCCTGTGATGGTTTAGTCCTTTTTCACCTTCTCTGCAAACCTCTAGGACGTCTCCTTTTATTCTTTCTCAGAAACTTTCTGATGGAACACTGATCCTACTAAAGGCACACGTTTCTGGATCATTAAATTCAATCTGCACAGTTGTGTGTTTTAAAACATAGACGTTCAGCACAGAGACACGTAACTCAGCTGTACGCTAAAGTGATTTATGTAAACTCTCAGAAATCAAATCCACCAGACAGGATGTGACTCGTGAACAGGAGAGAAGAAATGGGAGAGGGAGTGTGAGTGTGAAGAAAGAAGGATCGTGTTTATCAGGAAACAGGTAAGTCGTCTTAATGTTGTTAATCTTGATTCCATGCAGACAAGGACGTGTCTGGTGTCGGGGACTCTTCCTGTAGGTGAATAAAACAGGAGCAAAGGTTTAGTAGAGTCGACTGTGTGACAGCTGATAGGGGTGACCCTCAGGCAGTAGGCTGCCCAGGGAACAGGAGCTGGTAGGTGATCCAGTGTCAGATTCCCAGTGAACCTCACTTCTCCACATCTCAGTCATGTAGGTGGGGGTCCATGTGGATTTTTCCCCAGGATGGACATACGGTTGGATCTTTTATCTGCAGGTGCATTGTAGAGTCAATGATTTCTTGGTGCCTGTTCATGTGGATGGGTCATCTATAGATGGTTTACAGACTCTCTGATTGGAGTAGCTCCTCTAATTCCACAAGTTTTGTCTTCTGCGTCTTCATGAATTAATTGTGCAATTTTAATTTTATATTGGAGTTGATTACAGTTGATTAATACTGCTTTATTAGCCTTAGGTGTACAGAAGTCTGAATAGTTTACACATACACATATCTATTCTTTACCAGATTCTTTTCCCACTTACATTTCTACACAGTGTTGCATATACTTCTCTGTGCTGTCTGTCCATGCTGTATATAACAGCTTGCCTCTGCTAACTCCAAAGCCCCAATTTGTCTCTTCCCCAGCCTCTCCCACTTGCACACCACAAGCCATTTTCTATGAGTCTGTTTCTGTATTGTAAATAAGTTCCTCCATGTCATATTAAATCCCATATATGATGGTTGGATGGCATCACAAACTCAATGGACATGAGTTTGAGTAAGCTCCAGGAGTTGGTGATGGACAGGGAAGCCTAGCATGCTGCAGCCCATGGGGTGACAAAGAGTCAGACACAACTGAGCGACTGAACCAAACTGAACTGAATGAGCCTATTTCTGTTTTGTGAATAAGCTCCTCCATGTCATATTAAATTCCATATATAAGTGATATCATGTGACATTTGCCATTCTCTTTCTGACTTACTTCACTCAGTATGACAATCTGTATGTCCATCCAGGTTGCGGTAAATGGCACGATTTCACGCTTTTACTGAAAATGGCTGAGTACTATTCCATTAGATATATGCACTACATCTTTCTTACCATACTCACCTAGAAGCTAATGCTTTCCTTTGATTTTTTTTTCCTCAACAGAAAATTAACACCCACACTTTAGCCTAGATCAGTGTTATTTTCTGAGGCTGTCTTACTTTAGATTGTTTAAAGATCTCACTTTAAGAAAAGCTACTTCTGAGTAGGAATATAAACCAAATGCATGTTTCAGGCTGTGTGGTTGGAAGGTCTTTACTGGTTCTGTCATAATCTTGAGAGACTAAACACTGGTCTTGCCCAAAATGTGAACTTTCTTGAATTCCATTTCTCTCTCTTTAACCCCGCTTCCTGTGGGGGAGGGATGTGTGTGGACAAGCATGAGGTTCCACTGATTGGAACATTTTATTGGTTTGCACCAACTTGTGGCCATTCCTGCTCCTCTCTGATGACTCTGGTCTGCAAGATGCCTGCAGGGTAAGGTTTTCTCACCAACCATTTACCATCAACCAACCCATTTACAGTTTAATATGACTCAAGAGAAGAGAAATGATGTCTTGTAACAGAAAAGGTTCTCCAGCGATAGAATGTAAGTTGTTAGGACAAAAACACTTTACCTATGAAATTTGGCCAGTGTGAAACCACCCCATGTCCCTCTTCATTCATTTTATGAAACAACAGTAATAACAGTCTATTTTCACTTATACTGAGGTTGTCTCTGGCCTTGTTGTCCACATGGAGGACAGTCATCTGGGGGAAGATTGAAAGGACAGGAATAAAAGATACACTGATTACTACTGTTCCTTACCATTTGCAAGGTTTCTCTCTTTTATTATTTTTTTACAGTAATAAATAATTTGCAGAGAAGGAAATTTTAAATAGTTTCCTGATAGGATATATTATGAAAATGTATAGCTCCATTACCACTTTTGAGGAAATTCACAATATCTTTTTCTTCAATCTTTTTCTCTTCTACCAGCTCTTTGAACCTTGCCAAGGCTTCATCTTCAATATTTACTTTAACTGAAAAACACCATCAGAAAGCAGAATTTTGCTCCTTAAATCCAGAGAAATTTCTGAATACAAAACAAGAACTTGTGTGTACAAGTGAAATCTTCAGTTGATATAAATTAGGCCTCAAACAATTACAATTTCCCATGACTCAGATGTCTCCTCTCTGTCTTAAGAATGAATCCTCATCCAACCCTGTAAGTAGACCCACCCCCACCATCATCAGCAGGACCCCAGAGACTCACAGGAGCTCTGTGAGTTTTCGGATCATCCATCCCTCTATGGAACTGACCGGCTCCTTGACCAACTTCCTAGAATCAGTACCTGCCACGCAGGTTTTCTTCTGACCCAAATGCATAGGAAACAGGGTTCTCCCCCAACAGATACACACTCACCATGTCAGACAGAATAATGGGAAATGATCTACTTTTTTATTAACCCACCATTCTCCCCAGTACCTTCCCTGAAATAGACACATTGTTCTGATGATACACACACCTCTCAATGCTTCTATGAGGTTCTATGCACTGACCTCAGTGTTCATAAGAACAATGCATTTGAGAAGTTGAACACAATGAAGTTTTATTGTAAAAGTTTCCGTTCCAAGGCTTATACTGTGTTGGGAAACTGGTGTAAACTGAAGAAATTGAGAGCAGCCTTATTATATCCATGGCTTCAAATTTATTGAAGTGTTAAAAAAACTAAAAACTAACATAATACTCTAATTTTCTTCCAATTAAAAATTTAAGAAGAATTTTGAAAACTGTTTTTTTTTTTAATGCAACAGGTGGGGATTACTTATAAATGTCTGAAGATCTGATCCCCCCCAACCCTTAGAAGCTTCTCTTTCTCGGTAGATTACATTCCAGGGTCCTTAATTCAGCGAACATAAAGACCTAGGTTCTGTAGACTACATAATACGTATTATCACCACAGCCTGATTTCACGGATAAAAGTACTGCAAATGGCAATGCTTCTTGACAATGTATGATAATCATATGATACTCGTATGATAAAATAAAGGTATCACACATACCCAATACTTCAACCAGTTTTGTCTCCACACCATCTTCATCCACGTATACAACACATAATATCAGAACGGTGTCGGATTCATAAACAACGTTAAGTTCTTTTATCCTCTCATCTGTGAGGGAGAGAAAAGATACATATATGCAACAATGCCTTAATTTATTGTCAGATTTACTGTGCAAATAAGGGTATGTGCAAGAGCGCATTCTGTGTCGATGTCTGTCTCACTCCATGGATGGGCTGAATGCTACAGTTGTTACGGCAGCAAGAACTGCAGGCAAGACTTTTTATTCCCACCTTTTCATACAAGTGATCTGATAAACTTAAATTGGGCTCAAATATGTTCCCCTGAAGCCATGTGACATTAGGGAAGTTGTTTAGAGTTGTCATAAACTGTTTAGGGATATAAATCTCAGCCATCATCCTAATTGCTTTGAACAGAATCTGCCTTTTAGGTTTGACTGGGGATGATTTCCTTGCATTTAATTCCATCCACCATACCTTGGGTAGAAAAAGATATTTTAAGATTGTTTTTAAAAAATGAATGCACTGCTGTGCAAACTCAAGATACACAACTCAAGATGTCGCTTCGTAAGGCTGTTGCAAATTATCTGTGAGAACCATACACGTCTACATGTTTTTCTCACTGACTGTGTGCAAGCTTCCTTATGCTCACTCATGTCTGACTCTTTGCAACCCCGTGGACTGTGACCCACTAGGCTTCTCTGTCTCACTGAGTCACATTCACAATTGGGAGGAGGCCTCCAAGCTGTGTGTCTGAAACTTTGCCTCATGACAAAGTAAAGTGTTTGGAAAACTTCGGGACAAGACCGTGCTCACCACTCTGATAGTTAGTCAGAGTAGAATTCAGGAATGGGGTGTTATTGCAGGAGGTTGTACCAAGATTTCCACCCAACCGTACTCTGACCAGTGAAACTGTCAAACTTACTGTCCAAAGCACAAGTCATCAGCTTGCCTTGTTCCCGTGACATGTGTTATTTCCCATTTTCCATTAGACCTTAAAAACAAAAGATATTCAAGGCAGGTGATTAAAATATAGAAAAAAAAAATTGCATATAGTGAGGATTTTGTTTGTTTCACCTGAAAGGTTGTATGAGGTGTCACTTTAGTGCCTGTGAACCATGTGGAAAAAAGAACATGTTCTCTAAGGTAAAATCACTACCTAGTGAGAAGGATGGTTAGTCTACACATTAAATTTGAGCATAGTTCCAAAGACAAAGTGCAAATACCAAGGAAGCCATATGTAAAGCCAAATAATAATGACTAAATCTAGAATTTATGAAAAAATAAAAACGATACACTTTTTTTAAAAAAACATCCTGGAAGCAGACAGGTGTGGCTATCATAACAGACCTTGGGTGCTCCCACAAACTTGCAATGACCCACTAGAGAATATGACAGGGAAACATCACTAGAAGTTGAGAAAGAAATGTTTACTTTTATCAAAACACACTCTTATTCCATCACAACACTATAAGAGGATCAAACAAGGAAGGACGCATGTATGTATGCACATATGTTGACACCTACATACGCACAAGCAAACAGGCAAACATACATGATATGCTAACATGACATATGGAAATTATATGTATATCATATACGACAAGTGTAAGTTGTCAGCTGTATAACAGAAGACTTAGACTGACTTCATATATGTCATGTGTGAGAAAAGGTGTATTTGGTACCCAGAAAGTGTGCGTGTGGGAACCGTGTCTTACAAATTCCGCAGGAAGGGGTCAAAGCCCTGGTGCGGACTGTGGTTTCCAGGACACGAGCCTCTTCCCACTGCTGTGTCTCTCTTTCCTGTAATGAGCTAATGCCAGTGCAGCTTCTGGGACCCACCTGTCCTCAAGCAAAGACTCCAGGACATTCTGCAGAGACTCACAGGGGGATCTGCCCCCCCAGCTCACAGACCCTGCTCAGCCCCACAACTCAGGGAGTCATGCTGTCAAACATCACCCAGAGAGCTCCCTGCAGAAGGGGAAGACAACCATCCCTCAGGCTCGGGGTTAATAGGTGTTTTCCTGCTGGGTGATTTTTACTTACTCGACATATAAATCAAACTCTTTGGTGCCCTTTTCATCATCAAACACAAGATGACACAAATAAATCCTGGATGGCCCTTTCTCACCGGTCTCCTCTGGGTCACTGGATGCGACGTATGCGATTCTCCATTCTCCTGAAAGCTAACAGCAAAGTTAGAAATTTTCCTCCTTGTCTTTTGATTTTTTTTTCCAGCCACATCCCACTTGAATTTTCCATCACTTGTGCAAAATCAGCGCACATTATCTAACGTGACAGGACAAAGCAGGATCTGTGAAACAATCTGGAAAAGGAAGTCAGAAGAAAAGAAGGAATCAAGGCATTTCTGAGAGAGTTTGAGCTCTGGTTTCAAATGCAAGAACCCCAACAGCCGTTTGGGTGACCCTCTTTCTCTGTTACAGGAGCAGGAAAAAATGCATAAAAAGCAACTAATACGCAGGAAAGATGATACAGAAACCAAACAGAACAGGTATAGAGCCAGTAAATGGAGCAGCGTTGAGTTGGAGGGAGGTGGCTCAGCCCATGGATCCACATCACAAAACCACAAAAGGATCACACACTCACACGCACACACCCAAGACCTGCTCCCCAATCAGACCATCCCTGGTACCTCCAAGACACTTTGCTCAGCTTCCTCTTCTTGGGCCACACAAACCAGGCCAAGGAGAAGAGTCAGGAAGAGAACTTTCATCTTGTGTTTCTCGTGGACTTTTTCTGTCGAGGCTGGGGGTGACACGGTGGTTGGAGAGGATGCGAATTGGTGTCAGTTTTTATAGCATCCTTATGTTGGTGTGACGCGTCATGAACCAATGCTTGGCCCTTTTAAGAAACATGTTATCCAGAAGTCATCTTCAGTATCTGGCTTGGCAGGCTTGAGCTCTGTGGTAATTGGTATTTTAATCTTGGGGATTGTTTTAGGAGATGCTTAAGTGAATCTTTCTTCCTTTGCAGAAGGAAATGGCAACCCAGTCCAGTATTCTTGCCTGGAAAATTCCATGGACTGAGGATCCTGGTAGGCTATAGTCCATAGTGTCGCAAAGAGTTGGACATGACTGAGCGACTTCACTCACTCACCAGGTGAATCTGGACACTTGCCCTTTAGAGTGAGTGAGAAATCACAATACACATCTGATATTTCAGGTCAGGAATATTTATTTTCCTTTCTATCCTGAGATACAAAATGGGATAAACTGTCCAGGACACACATCCCCCACTTCTGTATGGTTTCCTTAACCTCAGGAAATGGTCTAAATGTTTATTTCCTAAAAGTAAACTTGAGTGTGTGCTTTCACATACTTAAATGATTTTTTAGGAGAGCCTTAGAAAGCCACCTCTTTCCCTGAGGAAAGGAAGTCAGAACAAAGTGTTTATCACCTCCTCTTTCCCCATTGCAGGCTCTGTCCTCCTTACAGCTAAGAGGATGATCCATCCAAATGTCCCATAACCTCCTGTGAAGAAGGCAAGTCTGCAATCCCTTTCCACCTCTCTCTTTTCAGACACCCTTTATCCATCAAATTGGTGATATCTCATTTATTCATTAACTCAGTAGTTTCTTAGGCAAGCAAGAAAACAAGACAGTAGTTCTTATAATTTCTAAAATTTTGAAGAAAAGAAAAAACAAACTTCCTAACTCTATATGTCTAGTTATTATCAAGGTCAGTGAAAGAGCCAAAGAATCTCTTCTTTGTATTACCTTTCAACCAGGGAACTTAGTTCTTCAAAAAGAGATGGAAGCCATACTCCCTACAGTGCAAGGGCAGAGTCTGAACCACTGGACCAGAAGGATCATTCTGATTCAGACAATTTCAAGCAGGAATATGATCTCAGATAACACACCTTATCCTCCCACCATCATCCTTCCATCTCTCCTTATGTGCCTCCAATATCCCCAGGTTTTCCATCTGGATTCTACCAACATGTGTCCCCAGGGAATGTGTCCTAGGACGATCGCATCTTAGGAAGACCTTTCTTACTGCCAATCAAGGGGGAATTAAACATAGTACTCTAAGAGATGATTACAACAGGTGGTGGCAATCCTGTCATTTTGTATATAAAGGAATTCATAGGACCTTTATCCCAAACTCTTTCCATCAATATTGCCAAAAATGTAGGTAAAAAATTGATAAATAAACACAGAATGGTCTTACTCAAACAGTACTCTAGTAACCTCTCACCCCAAAAATGCTAATCCATGCTTCTTATGTCTTTCTGCTGTCTCTTTCTCCACTTTGTCCAGGTTTCTGTAACTATGAAGCGTCTCTTTCCTAGATGATTGACTTTGTCTTACTTTCCTCTTTTCTCTGTGATCATTATCTTTCTATCTTAGATCGCACAGCTCCTATGGAAACAATGCAAGGAAACCTTTGACCTTGGCTACTAAGAACACCCAGTTCCCTCCAGGATTCATGGCCAAAGTTCAATGTACCTACATTGTACATCTCACATAGTTCCCAAGGGTGCTCCTTTTGTCTGAAATTTCCATGATCTTCCTAATACCTGTGGAAGCTTTTAGAATTGCAAGTTGATGTGGACGGGAGAAAATATCCTAGAAATGTCAGAGAGGACCAGTCCCGTAGAGAAAGTTCCCATAGAGAAAGGCCCCATTGTGTTTCGCCACTGTTCACCTTTGTTTTTCTGTTCCAGTACTGGCATTTATCGGTCACTGCATGCTTTCATTTCATGGCACGTGTTCATTTTGCTGAACACTGGACAGCTAATTCCTTTCTAGGTATTTCAGTCCATCGGAGCCTGGACCTAGCCCTTGACCAAATAGTTTCATTATCAATTAAATAGGAAATGAACTTTTCCACCCCGTCCACAAGACTCTAGTGTTTGCTGAGTTTTAGGTGAGGTCTGGGTGGAAAACAACCACAACATCAACAGTGGAAAATCTCAGACTAGTACATCTCAAGATGTGTGCGCCAGATGAGAAAAAAGCTTCCTTCTCTGCAGAATGCTCTGATTTCTCCTTTATCTGACAGTAAAATACTAAAAAATAAGTTCCATACAATGTCCGTTAAACCTGTACCTACATGTGCATCATGAAGA